AAGGGAGCTGGAAATACCGTGACAAAGACGAATGCTGCCGGCTGCCCAGCGAGATTTTTTCCACCATGAGTCTGTTACCTTGAATGTACGAAGTATGCTCATTTTCCAGCGTCTGGCTAGTTTTTAAAGTATCGGTTTAAGTACTGGAACATTAATAATTAACGTTTCTGGGGCACTGGCAAACTAGTTCACTTCTTTAGCTCGTATTTTAAAATATGGTGAGGATGGTAATAGGGTAGGAGGCACATCCTGTGAGTGGGGTCGTTATTGTGGATATACCAGAGATCAAAACTGATGGGAAAAAGTGGTTGCAAAGTGGTACTTCTTCATGTAAAAAAGAGGATTGCTGGTTTGGTAGTCTGAATGTGTATCTAACCTGCTGGGGTCTGATGAGGATGCTCCCCCCAGCCGGTCCACGTGCTAATCTCGAGTGGGACACACACAGCGAGCATCCTCAGGCTTCTGAGAGTCCTCGAGAAATGTCCTCAAGCAATCCCACGAACTGCATGCAGAATAGAAAATGCTTTATAAAAGTATGCCTGCTTATGCTTGTACACAGTTATATGAGAAAAATACCTTGTCTTTTAATTTATAGCAGCAAGAATATATATAGCATCAAGTAATCATTGAAAATAAATGCTGTATTAATAGAGGAAGGCACTTAAATATGATTGAGGTATGACCTTTCTGGGCCAAACAGACTTAAAGCTTACTCTAGGCCACCAAGGGTCAGAGCAGGGTTTTACTTGTGTTGGAGGAGCTAACCTGTGTTCAAGTTTTCCCTGAATTTGCCTTTTTTTCTTTTTTTAACCCTATAATGGAAACAGCAGCTGCCCTGTGCAAGGACAGGGGAGGGGGCAGGAGCAGTGAAAGGGGCATTCGTACATCTGCTGCTTTTGAACTTGAGTTTGGCATAAAAATCATTTAAAAACCAATGAGATCAGGTGAGGCACCGTAGCTGTGCCTGGGGAAGCCTGCGTGGCTGGGCGCTGCCTGGAAGGACATTGGGGTGTCCAGGGCTGCTCTGTGCCACGAGGAACTGTGGCTTTTTTGATGGGTTTGTGCTGTGACCGTGTTTCACTGCAGCATCCTCTAAGTCCCTGGGCGAAGCATTCACCAAGCCCTGGCAGTACAAAGCCCAGCACAGGATCCTAGCGGGGTGTCCCCTTGCTAAACCTAAAAAATTAGGTTCACCTCCTGCCTGATCTCCGTCCTGCTGGGCATCTCAGCCCTTTGGCTGGCAGTGGGACATGTGGGCTTGCTCCCCCCTGCAGGCTGTGGGGCTGGGAGGTGGGAAAACACCGAAACAAACCCCAGGACAGCAGAGAACTGAAACCCTGCAAGGCCGTGCGAGCCAGGCTTGGTGTCAGGCTGCTGCAGGACGTGCAGCAGTGTCCTGGAGCTGGAGAACAGCGAGGACAAAGCCGGGTCCCCGACACTGCCCTGCCTGCTCCCAACACCGTGTGGCCCCTGGGTTCTGCGAGCTCCCGCGCCTCATCGTTTCCATGTGTGCTGAAGTCGCCTGGAGCTTTCAGTTCTGATGACTAACTTCTTTTTCTTCATGGGAAGGAGCCAGCTGACAGCTCCTCAGCCCCAACCCTTCTTTTTTTTTTTTTTTTTTATGGCCTTTTAACCACACCAGCTCTGCCTTTTCCTGTAATTCGCAGGCCACAGTGTCTTTCCCTTGAATCAGGAGATTTTTCCTGCTGATTTGGAGCACGTTGAGAGTGAGCCTGTTCCTGCTCACGGACTTGCCACATCTTCTTTTGGAAAGGAGGAAAGGCCTCCTTAGTTTAGTTTCAACATCTGTCGGCTTGCTGAGTTTTAGGACCCGATATTCGGGCTTATTTGGGGAGAGGGGAGGAGCAGCGTTTGGGGAGGCCCCTCACCAAAAAAAGCTTTTGAAAGTAAAGGAGCCGGAGTGGCACAGGCTGAGGGGAAAGGGATCAGGGAAACAGCAGAAATAACAATAATCCTGAGAGGCAGAAGGGGATTGCAGTAGTGGGGACAGAGTGGGGATTTGGGGATTTCCCCCTGTGCAAGGGAAGCACTGCCCAGCACAAAGGGGTTTCGTGGTATAACTCGTTTGGGATCATTTTAACAGAAATGGACTGAGGTGGATGCTGGGTCCCACTCCCTGATCCCAAAATGAAGTTTCCAGGTGAACAACTCTGTGCTGGCTTTGTCGGAGCAAAAGCAAAGCTCCCGGCAAGCCCCAGCCCGCGGGGCTCTGTGCCGGTGGCAGTGGTGGCAGCGCAGCCCTGCTCCAAGTGGCACGAGGATGCTTGACGAGCCTTTGAGGAGCCCTTCTGGGGGATCTTCACCACTCTTATCTGCCTGGCAGCAATGCAGGACTGGTGGGAAACTGCAAAGGTTTGCTGCACCCAGGCTAGTGCTGCATTTTTAACCCTTTCCCCGCGTTCTGCGACTCTGGAAGGCAAACCGTGTCAGCCTCAGAAACCCCTCCTGCCTTTGGGCTGGTGTTCGCCAGGCAGTGCTTCTCCTCCTCTCCTTCCCCAGTTTTTCTCTGCCTCCCGTCTCTTCCTGTCTGGCCCTTTTTTCACTCTCCCTGCCTTCTGCCTTTTAGTTCTTGTCTGTTTCTTCCTCTTCCTATAAACGTACATCTCACGCGATCCTGCTGCGCTCTGCCTGTTGGCAACCGAAAGGAGACCTCCTGCTCCTTTCTGTTTGCTTGCTTGCATTTCTTCTCCGCTTCTATTTCTGTTTTATTTTTGTTTAACGCCATCAATTGTCATGGCACTCAGGTAATTCATTGCTCCTGACATCGCCAGAGTTCATCGGTGCTGACCTCAGTATCAGCCTTGCGACGTCAGAGCGCCAATAAAACCATGCAGAAGCGTTTTTTTTCAAGACACATCAGCATTTATTAAACCATCGGATTGCAGTATTACCTGACGCTTCCCAGAAATGTGACACGCTATAGGAAGATTGTAAAAATCCACCGTATGTGCCCAGCTTGGTGTCACTGAAGGCTGGCACAGTGGTTTCTTTCACAACGGCCCTTGCTCAATAACAGACTTTCTGAGCTTGCCATGGATGAGACCATGACATAAAGAAATGGTAAAAGATGCAAAGGGAAAGGCTGGCAACGGGAGATGCAGAACTGCAGGGGAAGTGGAAGGAACCACGCCGATAAGTGGATGGTCAGTGGGCTGGGCCAGCTGCGTTTGTTCTGCGAAGACTGCAGGCTTTTTTTGCTTGAAAATGTCAAGGGTTTGGGGCTGTTTGAAGCCGAAGCACTCTGCAGATGAAACGCACGTGGGGAGTTAGTGCAGCCAGATTAAAGAGAAGCACTTCACCCTGCCTTCCCTCTGCCGAGCAGTCCTTACGGCCTTAGGATGGAAACAGCCTGACCTATTTCTGCTAGCTTTAATTAGCAAGGTGGGAAAAGAGAACTGCCCCGGCCTTCTCTTCCCAGGCAGATGAACAACATGGCACAGGGTGAAGCCAGGGCTGGGGCCCCACACACGGCCAGGGGACGACACCAAGGGCCTGGCTGTGGGACGGGGCCGCGTGGCTGTGTCCCAGGGGTGTTTTGTGGTGTGGGGATAACGAGCTACCTGTGCTCAATCCATCAGGGTGCAGAAGGGGCAATGGAGCATTCCTGTCCCTGGCTGTCCTGCTGAAGTGTCAGCCCCAGCACTCCCCTCCCTGAGCACCCACAGTGCCACCTCAGCCACAGCACTCCCTGGGGTCCCATTCTTCTCTTTTACCTCACAGCTCCCACCCCACAACCAAAAAAAACCCAAATCCCCACAACCCATCCCCTACTGCCCCCGGGGCTCCTCACATCCCGGGGTCTCCACACCCCCCAGCTTCCCATCTCTCTCTTTTACCTCCCAGCTCCCACCCCACACCCAAAAACCCCCCGAACCCCCCCCCAAATCCCCACAGCCCCCCCACCCCGGGGTCTCTGCACCCCCCAGCTTCCCATCCCTGTCTTTTACCTCACAACTCCCACCCCACACCCCAAAAAAACCCCAAAACCCCCCCAAATCCCCACAACCCAACCCTTGCTGCACCCGGAGCTCCTTGTATCTCGGGGCTGCTCACCCTCTAGGTTCCCATTCCTCCCTTTTACCTCACAACTCCCACCCCACACCCCAAAAACCCCCCAAATCCCCACAGCCCACCCCTTGCTGCCCCTACAGCTCCTCACCCCCGGGTTCTCCGCACCCCCCGGGGTCCCATCCTTCTCTTTTACCTCACAGCTCCCACCCCACACCCAAAACCCCCCAAATCCCCACTACCCATTCCTTGGTGCCCCCACAGCCCCCACCCCGGGGGTCTCCGCTCCCCCCTTTCCCTCCCCCATCCCCTCAGCGGGAGGGGGGGGGCTGGCTGCGGGCGTCCCCCCTCCACCCCGGGCGGAGCCAGCGGCCGCGGGGCCGCACACGGCGCCTGTGCCGAGGGGCAGGACCGGGGCCGGGAGGGGAGGGGATGATGGAGGGGAGGCGGGCGCCCCCTTCCCTCCGCTTCCCGTCCCTTCCCCTTCCCCCCATGGCGGCGCTGGGCGACTCGGCGCGGCTGGCGGCGGCGGCGGTGGCCGAGGAGGAGGAGGAGGAGGAGGCGGTGGAGGCTGTGGTGGCGGAGGGGCTGTGAGGAGAGCCGCCCCCCCCCCCCACCACCACCACGCTCGGCTCCGGGGTCGCTTGGAGCCGGGCTGTGGGGGCATGGCGGGCCGCGGCCGCCGCGCCTGGCTCAGCGTCCTCTTGGGGCTGGTGCTGGGCTTCGTGCTCGCCTCTCGGCTCGTCCTGCCCCGAGCCTCCGAGCTGGCTGCGGCGGCTCGGCCCCGCCGTGCCCGCCCGCTGGGCTGCCGCCCGCCGCCCCCTCCCCTCGCCGCTGCCGCCGCCGCCGCCGTCGCTGCCGCCTCCCAGCCTCGCCGCCCCGGCCCGCAGGCTCGGAGCTTTCTCTTCGTGGGGGTGATGACGGCGCAGAAGTACCTGAGGAGCCGCGCCGTGGCTGCCCACCGGTGAGGAGAGGGGACGAAGTGGGGGAGGTTTTGGGAAAAGGGGCTCCCCCCCCCCCCCCACCGCCATCACCACCTTGGGATGGGGCGCACTGAGGATGGATGGACGGACAGGCGTGTTGTTGAGGGGTGGCTCCGTTTTTGGTCTCGGGGGACCGTGGTGGTGGTCGCTGAGGGGTTTGGGGATGGCCAAACCCTCGCCTCGCTGTGCCCGGCACGGGCAAAGAGCTGCCGCCCTCCCCTTCCCAAATGGGGAGCTGTGGAAGCGCACACAAGGCCGGCTGCCCTTCCCAAAAAGACCTATTGCTTCTTCCCTCCCGAAGGCAGCAATCTCCCATTCCGAAACCAGCCACAATAATACATAACAGGCTCAAAAATAAAAGTTTGGGGGCTGCCGGATAGGGAGCTGGATAAAAAATCCCCCCACAACCCCGCGTCCAGGCGAGGAGATGGAGCCCCAGCAAACTGCGCCTGGGAACAAAGGGGGAAGCCGCTCGCTGCCTCCGCTCGCAGCTGTGCCAGGTGGAGCCGGCTCAGGAACCCTCTCCTGGTGGCCGTGCTGGGGTTAGGGAATGATTTGTGCCCTGGACGGTGTGCCTCAGACCCCGGTGATGGAGGTGATGGTGTAGGGACGGGGCTTCAGCCCTCAGCCTCAGCGCCTGGCGTGCCGGAGACGTGGCCCTGCCGAAATAACGCCCCTCGCTCCGGGAGGCCGGAGGAGTTGGGAGCTGAAAATGTCAGCCCGGCTCCGAGCAGGCCACAGGGGCTGCGGGGTGGGTCTTGGCCTCCTAAAACATCCCCTCGGTGCCTGTGCTGGAGGAAAGGTTTCTCCATCGCCTCCCTGCCCCGCTGGGCAACGCGTGGCCCCGCTGGCCGGGCAGGGCGCGATGGACGGGGGCTGTCTCCTCCTGGGAAGGGGCAGCTCTTGGTATCAGCACCAAAACTCCGCCAAATTGCTTAATTTGGGCAATCCGCAGCGTATTGTGCACCAAAGAGGGCCGTAATGGAGACTTAATGCCTTCTTTCGGCAGCAGACCCGTAATTAAGTTACAGAGGGCGTGTGACGGATCCTTTGAAAGGGGTGAAGGAATGCGTTTCTTCAGGGTTCTGTCTTTTTCTTCCCCGTGTGGGATGGAGCGCTTTGGATTGCAAATCCCACGAGGAGCCCTGCGATGCCCATTTACATCGGGGAAGGCTGGAGTCACGCTGGGACATCCCCTACCAGGTCCTGTGGCAGAGCCAGCGGTCTAGCAGCCACCCGATTTTGGGGCAGGAATCCCCAAAAGGACGGTGATCGCGGCATTGTCCGGAGACGGGTGTTAGTCCTGGATGTTTTCCCGTGCTGGTGCGGGAAGGGCTCTCCCACCTGGATTTGCCTGTGCTTGCAGGAGAGCTCGGAGCCAGATCTGCAGCGTCTGTGCACGAATAAAACAGTTAAAGATGCAGCTTGGCGGGTCGGGCTCCTTCAGCCCCGGGAAGGAGGGCTGAGCATCACTTTTTATTGTGCTTCTCTTTTTGGTTTAACCTCCAGAGGGGCTGTCAGCTCTGGGAAGGGCCGAATGGGGAGAGCTGGGAGCGTTGCGGTAGGGCTGAGGGCGTTTTTCTCCCCGCTGCTGGCAAAAGAAACGAGCTAATGTCCTGGTGACAGGAAGGCATCTTCGGGGGAAGGTGGGGAGGGGGAAGAGGAAGACGAACCTGAAATCCTAAATGGCTTTTGATTGCCATGAAGCGCTGGGGCAGACAATCGCTGGGATTACCACACTGACAAAGCATCCTGGGGAGCTGAATCGCTGGCACAGCGAGCCAAACGGGAAGCTGCTCGCAAGGCTTTCCCGGGGTGGCAGCGTGTGCAGGGCCTTGATACCGCTGAAAGGAATTAGGGATTCAGGGGCTGAATGCCTCCGCGCTGCCGCGGCTCAAAGGCCATTGACGGGCAGAGCTAAAAGGGGCTGGAGCGGAAAGCATTCGCTGCTCCTCGCTGCTGTGAATCCCGATAGGGTCTAACAAGAGGGGAAGCAATCCACTTCCTGAACATCAATCACGAGCCAAATGACCACTGCAAGGCAAAGCGGGCCCGCTGGATTTCCAGGAGCCGCCGGCCCTTTGAAACAGTCGGGCTTTTGTGCTCTGCGAGGCAGAGAAATAAGCTTCAGATCTCCAGGTTTTGGTGTTTTTTTTTTTTTCTTTTTTTGCAGGGCGGATTCGTAGCTTCGGTGATTGCATCTGACAGCCAGGTTAGAGGAGCTTCCCTTCGAGCAGGCCGGCAAAATGCGGCCTCAGAAACAGCAGTGTCACATCAAAGGGCGTGAAATAGCCAGGAAAAGAGCAGTGCAGGAAGGAGTTAAAGGACGGCCGGGGTTCAGGGAAAGTGCAGCACTGCGTGCTAATGGCTTTGCAGTTGAGGGGAGTTGTCCTGAAAGAGCTGCAGGAAGGAGAGGCAGTCAGGGCTAAGCACTCTCCCTGCAAGATTTAAGCCTGCTGTCTCAAGAATAGAAATATCGAGCCGTTAACCCTTTTTTCTTTCCCTTTTTTTTAGCGTTTTCCATAGCAACTAGATTTCCAGGGAAACCCGACAGGAGAGCAGTGCGAATGCTGCTGATGGCCGGGTGTCAGAGGTTGGGACACGGCGTGAGTGCCCCGTGTCCCTGCAGGAGCAGAGCCGTGGCGTTTCCCAGGTTGGGTATTATCTGGCTAAGCCCACTCCAGCTGCTGCCGGCGCATAATGCAAACCACATTTCCATGCCTTTTTTTTTTTTTTTTCAATTCAGAGCCCAGAGCTGGCGGCTGTGGGGTTTTCTGGTCACTAGCGAGGTGGGAAGGTGGATTGGGGGGTGTGCGTTCACATCTCCTGGGAGAATTCACGTGCAGTGGCTGTGAACATCGTGACGGAGCGATGCTCAGCTTAGCAGCAGTGCCACAGGAAAATTCCTGCTCCTGTGTCATCCGGCACAAATATGATGTACCTGGGCTCTCCTAGCAGGAAACGGGATTTTTTCCTAAAATTTCAGAGAATGTTCATGGGACAGAAGGACACAAATCACGTAGGATTGATTGCTGCATGGGGATGTGGAGATATTAAGTTGCCCGCAGGGGATGGATCCCTTTCTGTCCCTTCCACAAGGAAAATCCGTGTGTACTCAGGGACAGAAACCCGGCATCTCATTAATTCAAAGGACTTTAAGGAGCTGTGGAAGCTGCTTAGGTTCTCTGTTAAATCCCCCTGTAGCAAATCTTGGTGGAAAGGTGGGACCTGGGTTCCTGTAGAACAATTGTGCAAAGTTAGCACTAATTGAACATAAAGTTTGCTGAAATGTGTGTCCGAGAAGGAAGTCCTGTAGGTCCCTTATCTTGCTGATAACGATTTCCGTCAGGTTAATTACACAACATGACCATTTCTGCAAACTCAAAACGATTTCTCTGGTCTCAGCTAAGTTCCCAAACTGTGCGGACAAAAGCAGAACATATTTTTCTGTAATTGTCTCTAATTCGGGGTCTCTACAAAGGGGGCACTGTCTGCGCGAGGTAGCAGGCTGTTTCTGCCAAGTCTGCGGAGCTGAGGATAAAGCAAGGTAACTCAAATAAATAATAAACGCTGCGGAAACCGAAGAGACAACGTTCCAGATCTGTGCTGCTCCAAGCTGTGCTTTTATAGCTTACTTTTAAATGAAGAAATTACGACAGCACTCAGAAGCTACAGTAGTGGTCACTTTTTATAACACGTGCATATATTTTTTAGAGCTATCTTTGTGCACACGGCTTTCTGTACACAGCTTTCAGATACCTGTAAGAGCTCTGTCAAAGTCTTTGCCTCCAGTTTGCTGGTGATTTGCTCAGATTAAGGAGCACGTGGGATATCCCAGCTGTTACCCGGCCAGTTGAGGGATGATAAAATTGACTCGTTAGCCAACCACACTGGAGCAGTCCCAACATCCTCTGCTGAGAGGTTTCTTCTAAGGAAGCGTTGCCTAATTTTTATGTCTACATGCTTGCTTAAATTGCATTTTCATTCCTCTTCTCGCTGCTGGCTTCTCGTTTGTTGGAGTGCTGTGCCTGGTGTGCTGAGAGAAAGCAGGTCGCACATGGCACGCGTGTTTCCAGCGCTGCTCCTAGGCAGGTAACACAGAGCCTTGCTGTCCTGATTCATGCACATCCTCCCGTTTAACCGAGCAGACTCAGATTACACCAAGGAGATAAGCCTGGGAGCTGCCTGGTTTTTAAATGACCAGCGCAGTGCACTTATTGGCTGTGTTCACAACCTGATATTTCGCTCTGGACAGAGTCGAGCACGGCAGGACCTGAAGCTGGCCGAGGCCACCAGCGGTGACCACAGGGGAGGTGATCCCTGCAGGAGCCTGGTGGCAGTGACACCGGGGCTGCAATTCCTTAAAACAACTGAGGAGGACCCAGGAATCCACAAGGGGGTTGGGAGGATGCCAGGTTTCTCTTAAAATATTTTATTTTTTTATTACTATCATCAAAGGTGGAATTAATTTGCAGATACGTTCTGCAAATCTTCCCTTGGAGAAGCCTTTGACCAGAAGAGCGATATCAGGTGGTGCGTGGAGAGCAGGGCTCTGTCAAGGAGCCCAGCAGGTCAGGTTGCTGCCCATAACCTGAGACAGGGAACCGAGCTAAAGATGGGAGGGCTGGCAAGAAATTCAGCCGGTAACACGTGGATCTGCGCAATCACTCGTGGCCGAGCCAGGTCTGCCTCTTTGCAGCATCAGAGACAGCAATTAAAAGCAGCTTTGATCCGAATCCATCCCTACATTTACCAATCCTTGGTCCTGGTGGTGGCTGGGGCCAGAAGGATGTGCTTGCAGCGACCTTAAAATCTGCGGTTCTTCTTTCCCTAGGTGCAGTAACATTTCCTGAACAAGCTGTTCTTTTTGTATTCTTTCTCCAAAAAGGGGATGCACGAGGCAGCGAGCTGTGGCTTGGGCATGAGGAGCAGCCCGCGGCAGCGCCGCTCCTGGGGTTATTTCGGCGCTGGGCTCCTGTTTTAGCCTGAAACTGAACCGTGGACAGGGCCCAAGAAATGATGGGGCCAAACTGGCCCTGGGCCAAGGGGCTTGAGGCAACGGGAGGGCTGGAAATGAAATCTGCCAGGGTTTGTGGACGTCCATGCGTTTTGTTCCCCCTGCGGTGAATGGGGGCTCTGTCCCGGCGATGCTCCAGGGGGTCCCCAGGGGAGGGGCGCTGGGGAGAGAGCTGGGAGGAAAATTAAACCGGGAACCTACAGAGGAGGGGAGGCAAATAAATACATAAATAAAAGTGAAGGCCGCTCCCGGAGAGCCCAGAAAAGCCCTAAAACTTGGGCTGGGAGAAGACATCCCACCTTGCCTGTGGCTCCCAGCCCTTATGCAGGCAGACCTCAGGGTATCGAGAGCATTAAAAATGAGGGATTGAAATGGGAAAGCACTAAGGACCTGCTTTTTGGGGAGGAAGCCTGTAAATTTGGATCATGCGTTGCTTTGGGAAGAACATTTTTCCACGTAGCCTTTTCATCCAAACCCCACTATTTGTATGCAAGGGGCGGGGGCGGTCAAAATAAGCAGCGAAACTTCGTCTTGTTTTAGAAGGGGCACTTTTCAGTGCTTTAGCAGAACGTAGCCATAAGCAGGAGCACCACGCGTTAATTACATCACCGATGATTAAAGGCCTCATCACCTCTGTTGGGAAGTCACAGGGATGTTTCCATTGACTTCACCGTGTGCTCCTGTGGGACGTCGGGACCTCAACTTTTCCAGCAGAGCACTACCCCAATGAGTAAGAGATGCAGAAGACAAAGCTTTCAGAGTGATTGTGTGGCATTCGTTACGCAGAGCTGGAGCTGTTCAGGTGTCAGAGCTGATGTTCAGCCCCAATTCAATGCTTCAGCATTTCCCAGGCAAACCCAAGGTTTCATTCTTCGGAAATATTTCTAGATTTCCACCTCGGCGCGGCAGCTAACTCTGTCGAGTTTTGAATTGCACGTGGGTTGCGCTGCCCAAAATCTGCTCTGCTTTTGGCCAGGAAGCCGTGCTGGGAGGCATCTGGTGAAAGCGACAGTGATGCATGGAGGTGCTGTGTCCTTCACCTCCAGAGGGCTTCCACGTCGGGCTCTGAATGTAGATGAGACTGAGCAAAGTCACCAAACGTAACTAGAAAATATTCTCCCCTACAGGGTTATGGTTACTGGGATTCTCCGGTGGCTGCAAACATCCAGGAGCATTTCCCAAAGCCTTGCAGCACCCGGAGAAGCCGCCCTTTGCTTGCTTTCCCACAGGATCCTGGCTCTTGACAAGTTCACATGAAATTTAGTGGCTGTTTGCTCCTTGGAAGTCAGTACTCCTGAATGGGTATTTGAGCTTTGGGGGTGCTTAGGAGAGGTGTGGAGGGGGATATGATGCCGAAGAGCTCACAGAGAAGCTTTTGAGGCATTAAATCCATTTGTATGAGTCGTTGGCCTGTCTTGGTTCCCTTTGCTGTTAGACCAACACCAAGTACGTGTAAGAAACCCTGCCCACCCCTCCTGACCCGCTCTTACTGTATTCTTTTTTACAGCTACAGCTGCCCTCATCAGATTTTTTTGCATGTTAAGCCAGTTGCTCGGGGTGCAGCGTGAGTGTCCTTGTTTGCATGGCAAAAAAACAACCCTTGGAGGCGTTCAAAAAAGAAAATTTGTGAAGCAGATGAGGTGCAGCTCCGCGTTACCTCTGCTGGGTAGCTCTTTCTGCCTGTTTGCATGCTCAATTCGCTCTTGTTGTCTTTTTGCCACCTAGAACCTGGTCCAAAACCATTCCTGGCAAGGTCGAGTTCTTCTCCAGCGAGGGCTCGGACACCTCCATTCCCATCCCCATCGTGCCGCTGCCCGGCGTGGATGACTCTTACCCTCCCCAGAAGAAATCGTTCATGATGCTCAAGTACATGCATGACCACTACCTGGACAAATACGAATGGTTCATGAGAGCCGACGACGACGTTTACATCAAAGGGGACAAACTGGAGAACTTCCTGAGGAGTCTGAACAGCAGCGAGCCCCTTTTCCTTGGCCAGACCGGCCTGGGCACCACGGAGGAGATGGGGAAGCTGGCGCTGGAACCGGGCGAGAATTTCTGCATGGGGGGCCCCGGGGTGATCATGAGCCGGGAGGTGCTGCGCAGGATGGTGCCCCACATCGGCGAGTGCCTGCGGGAGATGTACACCACCCACGAGGACGTGGAGGTGGGGAGATGCGTGCGGAGGTTCGCGGGCGTGCAGTGCGTCTGGTCCTACGAGGTAAGGACGAGGGGGGCGGCGAGCGAGGGGGGCGTTTTGGGGGAGGGAGAGGCTGGCAGAAGTGGCTCCGGGGCTTTGCCACCTGATGGTCCCGTCATACATGAGCTCAGAAGCAAGGAGGGAAGCATTTAGGCACACCGGGGTGGTGGGAGGAACGTTGGGTGCTCGTAATGGGTATCTCCAGCTAGACACAAAGGGAACAAACTGAAATCCAAGCGGCCACAGGTCCCTGTGGTTCTGCCTGCTCGAGCCGTCCTTATTTAGCCGGTTGTGTTCCAGTGTCAGTGTGGAAAATTGGGGCTCCCAGTGCCCTGTGGCTTGCCATGGATCAAACGTGCTCCTCTGCACCCTCTGAAGCGAGCCCTGGGTGTTTCCAGACTGTCTGATCGAAAACACCCGCGGGGCTCGAGCTGCGCTTCCTAGCGCTACTCCCAGGCAAAACGCCGGGAGTTTCGCTGAGAAAGGAGAGAGGAGGAGAGAGCAGGGGAGAGAGCAAGCAGTTTATTGTTTTATGCCAGCATTTACGGCCAGCAGAAAGCTGCTTTGTGCGACGTGGTAAGGAAAGGAGATGCTCCTGCCTGTGTCAGCTGTCGGTCCTGAAGGCTTGCTGGGCTACCAGCACCTGGGCTCTGCTGAGGCTGGCACAGACCCCTTGGAGTCAATCCGACCACGTTTGGGCTTGAAATAACTAAAGATAACACACAGCTGCGCTAGGAATAATACCTGACAGAGTGAGGCTGGGCTTCTCCTCAAAATCAGTTTCGTTTGATCAGCCTATGGTCAGTTATTGGATGAATTGCGCCCGGTATTTTATTTAAGATACAGCAGTAGCCGTGCGAAATAACACAGCTGCCCTTACAGCTGTGGTAGGAGAAGCTGGGGGTAAAAGCGACGTTTTCCATGCCTGGTACGTCCCCAAATGTCAACCAACAGGCGGCTGAGAGCGCGGTGCAAGGTGTTTTGTTTCAGCTTCTGGTGCAGCACCGAGCTGATCTGCACCAGGGCACGGCGCCCTTCACAGCTCCCACCACGGCTGTTCCCAGTGGGCGCTGTGCCCGGAGGCATTTTACTCATCTCCACGACTGTCACTGCCCCCTTTCTCTGACTTCGGGAGCCCACAATGTCCTCACTGTGCTGCTCATCTCCACCGCCTCGTTCCCTGGGGTTGTGCCCGAGCGCGGCTCCAGTCCCCGCTCTGTGTGTCTCTGCTCTCAGCAGTCTGCCTCAAAACCCTTTTTTCCCCCTTTTCCTGTGTTCCTGTCGCTTCGCTGCTCTCCGTGGTGCCTTGCGGAGCACTTCATTAGCAGCACTGCTCATTTCAGGGCTCGTGAGGGTTTGTTCGTGCTCTTCCTGCTGTCGGGAGCTTTTCAGTAAGCACAGCAGAGGGAACGGACACCGCGATTCTTTGGGCTTCCTGCTTCACCTTGCCCCAAAAGAGATGCCAGAAAAATAGCAGGCAGGTTTGGGGGGAGCTCAAACTCTGTGTCCACAGCACATCAGGAGCAGCAGATGGATTTTAGGCTCCTGGAGCCAGGCTCGTGGCTGTGGCCCTACAGGAGATGGGTCAGGGATGAGACATAGCTCCGAAAATGCTCTGTATGGCGAGGGGTTCTCATTGTGAAAACAAAACCGAGGCTGCCTGACAGATAGCTCCAAAACTCAGCCCTCTGCTGAGTGGAGCAGCCAGAGCTGTGGGCTTTGTGCAGCACGCTGGGAGAAAAAGCCATAAAACAAGAAAAAAAATGGAGCTGTGAAATGTTTGAGGGAGCTTCATGGTCTGAGGCAATGCAGAGCGCCGGCCTTTCTCCTGCAGGGGAGGCAAGGCTTGTGCTGAGCCCGCTAGGAAGTGACTCTGCACTTGTAGGGAATGTTGGTGTTCTGGACATCTGGTGCTTTTCCTTAGCAGCACTTTACACGTTTAAAGCCTCCTTCCTTCCTAGCCCACCCTGGGGGTGCTGGGGGTGCGCTGTGCCTGCCTGCCTGCCCCGAGGGCACCTTTCAGCGCTGTCCCAGCCTCTGTTTGTCATTTAAACAGTCCCAGTGTGTTCATGGTCTGCTTTCATTCCGAGTTCAGTGTTTCCTTTAAACATATCCGAGTTCTGGACCTGTTGCTCTGCAGCTCGGTGTTATTCTGATCTTGTTTGTATTGTTTTAAGGCGCAGTGTTCGATATCCTGAGCCTCTGGGTGTTGGCCGGGGGAGAAGCAGGGTGGTGGTGACTGCGGGTACCGGGGGGCTCCTGGGAGGAGGGTGGGTTCAAATTAGCGTTTTGGGCGGTCTTTTATCTGCGGTAATTGCAGATAATTGCTGCTCTGAGATCCACTGAGGTTAGGAGAGCCCTTAACGTGCTCCTCGGATCCGCCAAGTACGTCGGCAGCGCTGGGATGTGCTGCTTCTGGAAGGGACCCTCCCTGAGCAAAGCCCGGAGAGACCGAAATATCTGCCCGATGTGACGGGCAGGCTGTGGCTGCGAGGTACGGCCACGGGGCTCTAATTTTAGAGGTGGTGTTTGCTCAGGAGCAGGGCAGAGAGGTCACAGGAGGGAGCAGCCGGGGTTGGCGAAGCCAAGCTGTGGGCTGGGAGGGTTCGGGATCGGAGGAGAGACCTCAGATCTGCACCCAGGTCCTGACCGAGCTCTTTCACTTCAGAAAATAATCACCTATCGGAGGAGCAAATATTTCGGAGGGGAAAAACTGACTTGGCACCGCTAGGTCATCGCTGCCTGACCTCTGAACTCAGGCTGGTGAAGGCTTTTTGGTTGCTGTGGGGATCGAGACCTGCCCTGCATCGAGCTCCGAGTGCCGTGCCGAGGTGCCTTGAGCCTGGATCTCGGTGACTTTCTGCCAGCCCTGGCTTTGAGAGGGGCAGGCTGCCTGATTCGGGCTTCCATGCGCCTTGCGAGCTGTGGGTGCAGCTTGGGACTGACCCATTTTTGTGAGCACGGGGGCAGGGAGCACGTTTCTGGCCAGCTGGATGTCTCAAAGCAGTGCCTGCGCTGGGGGCTGCGTGATGCTGTAGTGCAGACACCGAGGAGGCTTCCCCCATGAAGCCAGGAAGCAGAAGTAGTGTTTTTTTTCCCCATTATTGGCTTTTCGAGGTGCTAGGAACCAGGACCCGTCAGCCTGCCGCGTTAGGTGGCTGTCTGGCTTAGCTCTTAGCCTGAGGACAAGCCACCAAAGGCTAATCCATCGTGGCATGGCAGGATGAAGGCCCCCGTGTAATACCTCATCATCCCA